CTTAGAGCTGTGGTTAGGGAGGTAGGACGCCTGGGTTCTATTCCTGGCTCTGTTACTAACTTGCTGTGAGCACATAATCTCAGGGAAATCTCTTTACTTCTCTGAAGCTCCATTTATGCATCTGTAAAATGAGCTTAATAATAAACATTGACCTCAGAGGAGTTTGTGCTTCTTAGATGAACGATGTTAGAGATGGGCAAATTGTGTGTAATTGTTATAACAAGCTATAACAATCTACTGCAGTGGTGCTGAAAATTTTAGCCCGTTTGGAGACTTTCATACACACACACAAACTCATCCATTTATCAGATAGTCAGGAAAATATTTGTATCCTAAAGATTAATTCTACCTCCCCTCTTTTTTTCTCCCACCAAAGTCTCCATGAACTCTGAAATTCTCTCCAATCAAAAACTTACCTTGTAAAGTCAGCTTCCTCTTCCTCTTTGCCCAGTCCCCCCTTCCTGCTGGTCTAGATAAAGTGTTTTTGCCTTTATTGTTCCTTTAATGAAATGATGTTTATACACCATTTCTCGAGTCTTTGAGTCACTATAACCACAGCTCAGCAAGCAAGATAATGTAGGGGAAATTAATGAATGTTGGGCAGGGCTTTTAGCGTTATTAAAAAATGCCGGGTGAATCTGACAGCTCTCAGCTCTCCACAGATATACCTGAGTGCAGCCTTCCCTCTCCATAGAAACAGCCTTTAGGATTCTCCTAGCTCCCAGGGGCAAGAGTTTATAACAAACTTGATCATGCTAGTCAGTGCTAAAGCCAGCTTACTGGAGTGAGTCATGTGTATTACCATACCTACGCTAACCCTGATCTTGTTTTCTTACCGACTCCATGTCAGGGAGGAGTGTCTTGTAATTAGAATGTGACTGATGCTCGGAGGAGCTCAACTCTTGAATCTTTTAGCATGAAGGAGCTAAAATGCTAACAGCCTTTCTAAACCAGAGAGCAAGGTTTTACGTGGATAAGGAGAACAAAGAATGGGTGTGAAGATTGGACGACTGAAATAGAAACTTAGAGAGGGTGAAAGCCAAAGGAACAAAGAGTACTGTTAATTGGAGGGTGTGATACCAGGATAAATTAATGGAGGCTAGTTGTATCAATGGCTATTAGCTAAGAGGGTCAGCGTTGCCATGCCATGCTCTGAGTTCCTAAACGTCTGACTGCCAGAAGTTGAGCCTGGATGATGGGATGGATCACTTGACAATTGCCCTCCTCTGTTCGTTCCCTCTGACACATCTGGCACCAGCCACGGTCGGAAGACAGGATACTGGGCTAGAAGGACCATTGGTCTGACCCAGCACGGCCATTTTTTTGCTGGTGATGCAGTATAGCCTAGTGGACAGCACACTAGGCTGTGACTCGGGAGCTTGGGGTTCTAATCCTGGCTCTACTACTGGCCTTCTGGGTGGGCTTGGTCAAGTCACTTCCCTTCTCCTGTGCCTCATTTTCCACATCTGTAAAATGGGGCTAATGATTCTGATCTCCTTGTAGAACCGTTTGAGATTGACCAATGAACAGTATTATTTTCTTCACATCTGCTTTCTCTGCTCCTCACTGTTGTAGCTTTCCAGCGTTTCCTCCCTTTCTCTTAGCAGTCAGCAGTGGTGAAATCCAGAATAAAGCACAGAGCCCCACAGCGGGTTGATATCACATTCATTTCGGAATATACAAACAAAGCATTGTTCCCACCTGCAAGAATTCAGCTCTCCGAACACACCGAGTACGCCAGGGATTTAGCTCAAATATGAAAATAAACTTACTCCTGAAAAGTTGGGCAGCAGTAAGAAGCCACTTGTATTATTGTTTCCATTTTCCAGTTTACTTTCCATATAATAGTTTAGAAATGCTGCACCCAGTTTTATTTCTAATTTGTCCAAGAAAGCAAAGGCAAATCCTGGTGCCCTTACCCTGCTAATAGACATTCCAAGCAAAACTCCCAGTTCACTGGAAAGTTTTCCCTGAATAGAAACTGAATAAAGACTTCAGGATTTAGCTCTCTGTAAATAACCTGCATCACAATAAGGATAATCGTAGCCAGGGCTACATGAAGCAGGATTGGTTTCTAAACACATCTCATCCAAAAGGTGCTGTAAGAATGGCTGAGAGATTTCATTATAGCAGGAATTTTATATTTAGTTATACATGTTGTATCAGTTCTAAACCCCTTGACATCAATAGAATGGTTGTCAGATTCTAAGGGAGAGCTAACTACATGCAAGACACAAGGCCATGCTTCTAAATCAGCTCATGGAGGCAGCTGCAGAAACAGAAGAAAAGCCATGAAAGCCATGGTGGCAGGGGAAGATGGGGCTGAAGAAGCTATTGCCAAGGGGAAATGCAGTTAGGTCTGATACATAGATTTTATGCCTTCATCTCAAGCATCCAGAATTGACCACTGTTAAAAACAGGATACTAGACTCATCGGCCCATTGATTTGTACAACAGTGTATGGCTCTGCATTTTTGACAGCTCTCAGTCTAATCTGATGGCTTGTCTCAAGGCATTTATAAAACACCCAATCTCTGTGATATGGTGAGGTGAGCTCTAACGCTGGAGTTCAGCAAAAAAAAAAAAAATTCATCTGGGTTAGGCTGCGATACATTCGTTATACAGAAATCCTCATTGGAAACAACCTGTGCTTTACCTTAATCCATAAATGGTGCCCTGTTTGCAACACTGCTGCCACCCCCAATCTTCACACACATCTTTCCATACCCTAACACGTGCTTCAGTATAGGATGACTCTGTTACTTACTGGAATGTTAGAACAGTTCAATACTAATTTCCTGGCTGGGCAGCTACCGATATGTAATCGGCTGTTCCGCACTGAATGCCCTGGGAAAAGCCAGAGAGCTTTCTATGCCTCCCCTAAAGAAATGCTGAGCACTTTATCCTGGTGTTACATTTCAGCCCCCATACTCTTTACTTATATAAATCTAGGGCGTGCTTAATGTAATCACTATTTGTTCAGTGCTTGGACACAAGATGGGCAGGAGATGAGGGTAATACCACAGAGTCGTAGAAAAGAGGGCTTGGTTGTAATGAATATAAAGGGGATTCTTTTTCCTGGCTGCTGGACACAGAGAAGACCCTGTAATTCTCCTCTGTTTTCTATTTCCCAGGCTGACTGACAGCCTGTGTCACCACCCGGGGCAGACCCAGTCCAATAGCCATGGAAGTTAGTGGAATATTTGCACTGGATCAGATTGATTGTGTGGATGAGACAATGAGCAGTGCAGACTGGTAAATGCCATGCACAGATCACCAATTAAATCATTGACACCAAAATGTACTTGACGATCTGGCATGCTCATTACTTCTGTGACTTCAGCACATTTCACTTCTAGGAGCATGCCCAGGAAGGAAAAATATTTCAAGTAATTAGCAGCTCTGAGGGCCAAATCCTGAAGTAGTTTCTCAGGCAAAATCCTCATCAGTTTTGGTGAGATTTATGCCTGATGAAGAATTTCAGAATCTGTCCCCAGCTCTAATTTATGGGCAGCTAGCTACCATCACCTTACTGCCACTTGCCTGTAGCACAGCAGCCGTCCCCATCATTACACACCTCAGCTGGGATCTTAATTGAACTTGTGCTTTAAATCTGCGAACCAAAATAACTGAACACTTTGGACGGCTCTTACAAACAAACCTAAGGGGAGGGGGGGAATATATTCCCATCCCTCTTTTCAGCTTACCCTAGAATCACCTGAGTAAACTCTTTAAAGAGAGGTCAGAGGGAGGGTGTGGCTGGGCCTATTAGGGAAGTACTAGCAAAACAGCAACCCACCTCACATTGTTTCTGCTCTGGCATTGCATGGACAGGTAAGAGCAAAAATCTTTCTAGCTTTCTGCCTCTGAACTGCATTTAGTTTAGTTCAACTGACATTTTAGTATCTATTAGAATAGCTTCCTTCCTTTTTTTTTTTTTTAAATCTGATGCAAACAGATGGGACCCTGCAACAGTGTGGGTGAGATTTTCAAAGTACAATGATCAAGAAATCCAAAGCTATGGGTCAGCTCTCCCCAACTCCTTTATTTACCTGTTTAAACTTTATAGTACCCAGTTTACACCCTAGGTACTGTCCATGGAGTAAAACAAATGTATTCAATATATAAAAAATGAAGATGTGTCTATTCCCCAAGCCCCCTAAGTGATCAGAATGTAATGACTCTCTGCTCCAGCACATCAACCTGCTCAATGCCTGGGGGAAAGGCGGGTTTTACAGTCTGCCTGGAAGATTGACAAATCTGGGCTTTCATGGGCTAAGGAGAGAAGTGAGTTTCAAACTTTGATTTACAATTGCACCTTAGATCTCCCACAAAGACAATGCTTGTAGCCAAGCCTACAATAAACTATCTAAAGATTTATTAAATAGGAAAAGAAAATGAGTTATTTATTGAGTTAAAGCAAGTAAACATATACACACAAAATGAGATATAATCTTAGTTTTCAAAAGATAACAGAAACTTCTATAATAAAAAGTTCGTATGACCTTTGCAGCTGGGAATCTCATGCTTATGCCTAGTAAACTTTGCCCCCTTCCCCAGAGTGCAAGCAGCATAAAGATCCTGTTTCTTCTATTTGGGGGTTTTATCCCCCTCCTGCCATGTGGGGTCTATTTACGATCCTCTGTCCATTCACGCCTCCGGGCAGAGTTCCTCTGGGCGGCATCCACTGACTCCCTTGACGCCTTTGAAGAGCAGTGGGCACTGTCTGGGGTCCTCTGCTCAGTGTCCCCGTCCGGTTCCCTTCATTTGACCCTTTGACCACACTCCTGCCCCTGTTGTTCATTAGTTGTCCCCCGTAATTATTTGGTTTTCCAGGTCCTGTGGACCCCCCCTTAGGCTGGGGGGGATCCTTTAGCAGTGGGTGGGCTTTGCCCGTCTACTTCCTGGATCCCAATAAGGCCATGTGCTCTGAGCTGCAAACTCAGCTGATGGGAGGAATCCACTTTGCATGATTTGTCTTTATGGGGCAGAGTGTTATACCAATAAATAAAAACCAGCAGGATCTTATTAAAGGGAATAAGGCAAAATGCCACATTTATTGTGAATACAGAAAGAATCATAGTAAGCAGTTGGGTATAGCTATAACATTCCATTAAATTTCATATTTATTCACACATTCATTCATACACACACACACAGATTCTGCAAGGTTGTTATCATAGTCACCAGCCTTAGAGTTGCTCGTGCCAAGCTGCTGGCCAGGTGGCCTGGACATAAGGAGGGAGCAGGGCCTTGTCAGATGCACGTCTGACGCTCCTGGAAGTTGGTTTGCAGAATCAGACCCCAAAGTTCTCAGTTTCTAGAGTCCATTTTTATAGGAATTTCTTCTTATGCCAGTCTATGGGAATTGCTTCATCATGCTGTTGCTGAATCAATCAGCAGATGGCACATTCCTGACGGCTCCATGTTGTTCTTCGGTTCTCCCATCCTTGAGGCTGTTGGGTGGATTCCAGTCTGCCCTCCGGGGGTCCTCTGGTTGTCTCCACTTGACGCCTTCTTTGGCCGATGGACAATGGTTTCTTAGGCTGGCACCTCCCTGATCATTCAGTTATTATCCATACCAAGCATCCATCCACATACATCCTCTATCTCTATTTTAATCACAATTGTTAACAAAGCGAGATAAATACAACAAAAGGATGGGGAGTCTCTGTGTGCTATTTCTGTTGTTACAAAGTATCGCTTTGAGTCTCTCTCTGTGCCAGTAGTTGTTGTTTCAAAGTATTGCTTTGAGAACAGACTCTGTCTTAGGATGTACTAACACAATTAGCAGCTTGCAAGTTTCACACAGAGAGGGAGAGAAATAGTAAAAACAAGAGACCAAAAAACAAGAGACCTCTTAGTTTAAATTCCAGGGTATTACTAATTATGGGGAATCAAACTCATTTGTGATTTTAATACAGAACTTCTTTAATATGATCCAACAGGAGGGCAGAACAACCAACATTGTTTGTTTGTCCTCTTTAACATCCCACAATAGTCCAGCGAGTGTCAATGGACCTTTCCTGTCAGACCAGATGTAATACCTTCTGCTGGAGATCAGCACTTCATTTGGTTAATGCCACTCTCCTGTCTAGTGATTTACACAGCCCCTGAGGCTCAAATACAACCACTCAAACATTACCTTGAATAAGGGATACAGATGTTACAAGTGAGATTAATGCATCCAGCAACTCACAAGCATTCAATCAAGTCTAAACACATTCTTATAATTCTAATACCATTGTAACAATACTAACACACAGGTAAACCAGACTGATTCCAGCTACATATTTGTCAGTGTTCAATTGACACATGGGGACTTCGGCTTGAGCTGGCACTTGTCTGGTGGCATCACAGAGAGTACAATTATAAAATTTTCAGAAGACAGCAAACTGGGAGGGGTTGCAAGCATTTTGGAGGAAAGAATTGGAATTCAAAATGATCTTGAAAAAACAGGAGAAATGGTCTGAAATAAATAGAATGAAATTCAATAAGGACAAATGCAAAGTACTCCACTTAGGAAGGAATAATGAATTGCACAAATACAAAATGAGAAATGAAATTACTGCCTAGAAAGGAGTGCTGCAGAAAAGGATCTAGGGATTATAGTGGATCACAAACTAAATACATCAACACTGCAATAGCGTTCCAAAAAAGCCAAACATCATTCTGGGATATATTAGAGTGTTGTAAGTAAGACACAAGAAATAATTCTTCCACTCTCTTCAACACTAAGAAGGCCTCAACTGGAGTATTGTGGTCAGTTCTGGGCAGCATACTTCAGGAAAGACATGGAGAAATTGGAGAAGGCTCAGAGGAGAGCAACAAAAATGATCAAAGGTCTAGAAAATATGACCTGTGAGGAAAGCTTGAAAAAATTGGGTTTGTTTAGTCTGGAGAAGAGAAGACTGAGGTGGGACATAAGTCTTCAAGTACATAAAAGGTTGTTAAAAAGAGAAGGTGTTTTCCTTATCCACTGAGGATAGGACAAGAAGTAATGGGCTTAAGTTGCAGCAAGGGAGATTTAGCTAAGAAACTAGGAAAAACTTCCTGTCGGTAATTAAGCAGTTAAAGAAATTGCCTAGGAAGGTTGTGGAATCACCATCATTGGAGGTTTTTAAGAACAGACTCGACAAACATCTTTCAGAGGTGTTCTAGATAATACTTATTCCCACTTCAGTGCAAGGGACTGGACTAGATGACCTATTGAGGTCCCTGCCAATTCTACACTTCTATGATTCTCCACCTCTGCTGTGATAGCGAATCGAAGAAAGTATTTTCAATATAGATAAATAACTCCTTATCTATTATCTGTACGTACATTTCACAATGATATTAATGACCAGTGTGACCCTGGCTTTCATTTAAGACCTCACATGAAGCTCTTTGGAGAACCAGAATGTACATACCTGAATCAGGGTATTCTTGTATCCCCCTTGCCAGTTGGCCTGGAGAGGTCCATGGGTAACAGTTTCTCTTTACATGTCCCTATTACGTTCTGTTGGCCTATGATGAGAATATGCTGTGAGAAATTAATTGCTCATGTTTACCCTTCCTGGTGCATGCACCTGTTTTGATGTATACACAGAGAGCTGGATTTAGATACCCTTCATCCCACTGAGTAGCACCTTATTTCATGAGTAGCCTCCCTGATGTAAACTGGGCTAATTGTAAAATAAGGTGCTACTCAGAATCTGGCCCAGAGTGAATTAAACACACGTGAAGATGTTGGGGAGGGAGAATGAGAACAATAAAACTACTGCTAACATTTCAATGTATGATGAAAATCCCTGATACAGGGAATTTAAATAGAGATGAGGTTTAGAGCCATGAATAACATCCTTTCCCCTCTGTGTCCAGTTATGGAGAAAGTGGACTCAGGCTCCTAGCTCAGGGAAAATCCTCGACTAGTTCAAATAAATAATCTTCATCCCAAAGCATCCCCAAATGCTTTGCAACTCTTCCTCTTTGAGTTGGGGTTGGGTTGCTGTCTTCACAGCATGCAGAAATGTTGCAAGGTTCAGGGCCGGAAGTTAAGCAGCATGTGACCAGCTGAACCCACAGAGGAAATGTAGGCAGGATTTAAGCATTCAGATAGGGAATTTGAGCACTGGGGTTGACACACCCTCTCCAAAACTGCCGTGACACTTGTAACAACATACTGCTTCCTAGCACCATGCTCAGTTATTGGCTCATTACTGACTTGGGCCCTGAGCTTGTAATGAGCACCACCCTGGCATCTTGCTGAGCCCCATTTGCTGCAGTGCCCCACAGCGAGGCAGGATTAGAATCTGGAGTTCCTGGCTCTTACTGTGTGTTATGTATATTAGTGGTTTTCAAACTTTTTTTCTGGCAATCCAGTTGAAAAAAATTGTTGATGCCCATGACCCAGTGGAGCTTAGGATGAGGGCTTTGGGGTATGGAAGGGGCTCAGGGCTGGGGCAGAGGTTTGGACTGTGGGGTGGGGCCAAGAATGAGGGGTTCAGAGTGTGGGAGGGGGCTCTGGGCTGGAGCATAGGGCTGGGGTGCGAGAGGGGGTCAGGGCCTGGGGTGCGGATGCAGGCTCTGGGGTGGGGCTGGGGATGAGGGGTTTGGGGTGCAGGAAGGGGCTCTGGGTTTGTGGGGGGGGCTCAGGGATGGGGCAGGGGATTGGTGTGTGGGCTTACCTCTGGCAGCTCCTGGTCAGTGGCGCAGTTGGGGTCCTACCGCGGACCGCACTGCACCCTGGAAGCGGCCAGCAGCAGGTCTGGCTCCTAGGTGGAGGTACGCAAGCAGCTTCATGTGGCTCTTGCCTGCTGGCACTGCCCCCCCATTGTTCCTGGCCAATGGGATTGCGGAGCCAGTGCTCGGGGGCGGGGGGCAGCACATGGAGCCCGTGGCCCCCACCACCTAGGAGCTGGACCTGCTGGCCGCTTCTGGGACGCAGCGCGGTGTCAGAACAGGTGGGGACTAGCCTGCCTTAGCCGGGCAGCACCACCAACGGGACTTTTAATGGCCTGGTCGGCCGTGCCGACTGCAGCCTGCGTGACCCAGTTCTGGGTTGCAACCCATGGTTTGAAAACCACTGATGTAAATGATCATAAGGCCTAGGAGTCTCAGTCATGGACAAAGACCCCCATCATCTCAGGCACTGCATAAATACAGAACAAAAAGAAGGACCGTGCCCCAAAGGGTTTACAACCTATGGCCTTGTCTACACTACAGGCTAAATCGGCACTGCTGCGATTGATGCAGTAGCATCGATTTAACGATTTAACTAGTGAAGATGTGGTAAGTCGACAGGCCAGCGCTCTCCTGTCGACTTAACTTCCACCTCTTGTTAAGGGGGATAAATTATGTCGACTGGAGAGCATCTCCCATTGACATAGCATGGAGTAGACACCGCTTTAAGTTGATTAAGCTACGTTGACTTAAGTTGCATAACTTACATCGACATAGAGCGCTAGTGTAGACCAGGCCTAAGTAGCAGGTAATGTGATTTTAAACACACAGTAGAACACTTATGCTCAATGTACATTTTTATTCTACATTGACAAAGATTGAAGTAGGAAGAAAGCAAAGCTACTGAAACCCTTGTACCTATGCTCTGGCTGTCCCCTCCTTTGTAATTATTATTGCACACAGGTATTTGCATAGCATCCATCAATGTACCCCGGTGCCTTAGCACTGTCTTTAATACCGCTCTTTCTGTATTTAGCTGTCTAATATTTACCTGCCTCATGTGAGGAGTTGTGAGGATTCACTAATGACTTGTATTGTGGGGGTGCCTAGAGGCTCTGGATCAGGGTCCCATTGTGCTAGGCAGGTCACAGAAAGATAGTCTTTGCCCTACAGAACAATAAAAGAGATTGAGGAAGCACAGGGTAAAGTGAGACAGTTATGACTATCTTAATCAGCAGCAGTTGCCTGCGTAATTGCCCACAAAATGTGGTGAGAGCCCCGGACGAAAGTCACAATAAGAGTGCTGTGACTCTAATAAATTCATGACCACGGGCAGTGCCTGGGCATTGCTGTGCTACATAGAATGGCATGCAGGGTTTCACAGCGACGGCAGTGGTAGATTTCAGATCCTGCTGTACTAAGGGGAATCAACATTTAACAGTTTGTATACGGCCTATGACTCCATCGAGCAGTCCTGACTCTATTCAGTATAGGGGTATGGCAACATACAACACGCCAGCCAGCTTCTTATTGTTTTGTTGGAAGAAAAATATATTGGATACAGCTCTGTTTAGCATAAGAAGTTTCTCTTGAACGAGGTCTGTTAGAGAGGGCAATGAGTAACCACGGTGAATTTCCAAGGGTAGGTGGCTCGCCTCTTGCAGCTGCCTGATATCCTATTCCAATTTCCCCATCCTGTTCAAATGTAAACAATAGGTTTTACATTAATCCTGGAGAGAAATACCTATCAACTGCATTGCATTTGAAACTATGGGCTGTGCACACAAACATGCACCGAAATAACTAAATTCGTGTTCATTCACCTTTTGTGGTATTCAGTGTATAGGCTAGTCCTATGTCCTTGTAAAGATCACCCTCCCGTTGCATATTAATGCACTGTAATCAGTCATTATAATAATCCATGTTCCCACATCCATTGCATTTACACATCTATGGCATAGGAAATAGAACTCCTCTCCTTCCTCCCCACTGTATACGCAACTCATTGCGATGGAGTGGAAGGCCTACGCATTTACCTTGAGTTCCAGGAAGGGGGGTGGGTGAAGTTAGCGATGATTGCACAACAGCAGTTGCAAATGCACTGAGAGGTGGGGTGGAGCTGGAGGTTGCAAGCTGCACACACAGTGAGAGGAATTCTTTATTTTTACAGCTCCCCTTGGCCAGTGCACCTGCAATTCATAGACTGGGCACCAACCCACTGCATTTGCCTCTGTATCACTCTTTTGTGGGTAGGGGCCATCTTTGTGTTCCTACAGCACTTAGCAGGAGGGGGCCCTGATCCACATAGGGTTGCCAGTTTTGGTTGGAAGTGTTCCTGGAGGTTTCATCACATGCCATAATCCTTAATTAAAGATTAATCCTGGAGGCTCCAGGACAATGGCAACCCTAGATCCATGGCTGGGGCTCCTAGGTACTCCTAGGCTGAGTAATGCACTGGCCAGGGGCCCCAGCCAATCTGGAGGCCCTGCAGGAGCACTGGAAGATGTGTAGAAGTGGGGGGAGGCACCAGCAGGGGAAGTGTGGCCCTGCGCCTTGCTCCTCCTCTTCCTCGTAATGCCCCACCCCCTGGACAGGCTGGAAGCCAGAGCCAGGCTAGGGAGCTCAGGCCACTGTGGGGAGCCTTGGACCCTTCACCGGCCTGGGGGGCCCAAGAGCAGCCCTTGGACCATGTCCCCTCCCCCCAGGGCACATTGTCCAGGGCAGCTGGAGTGTCCAGAGCTCCTCCCAGGGGCCAGGCTGGCTGGCTCTTACTAGGGCCTGGCTCCAGCTTCCGGCCTGGCCTGCGGGTGGGGCCTTGGGAGGGAGGAGGTCGAGGAGAAGCAGGTTGTGGGGCCCTGTGGTGAGGGGCTCAGGCCCACCTCAACCCCCCCACTGGAAAGAGGCTGGTGCTGCTAGCAGGGGCTTTGCGCTTGCCTAAGGCTACGCCGCCCAGGTTCAAAAGTGAGCGCCAGGCCTGGCCCTCCTTTAAAAATGAGAGAGAGAGAGAGAGAGAGAGTGTGTGTGTGTGTGTGGGGGGGGGGGGGGGTGCATGGCTCCCAAGGACTTCCCCAGTTCTTGGGCCCCGGGGAAGCAGGTGCATGGCTCCCAAGGACTCCCCCAGTTCTTGGGCCCCGGGGAAGCAGGTGCATGGCTCCCGAGGACTTCCCCAGTTCTTGGGCCCCGGGGAAGCAGGTGCATGGCTCCCAAGGACTCCCCCAGTTCTTGGGCCCCGGGGAAGCAGGTGCATGGCTCCCGAGGACTTCCCCAGTTCTTGGGCCCCGGGGAAGCAGGGGGCCCAACTGTTCTCTGTGCCCAGGGTAAATACATAAATCTGAAGCCACCTCTGCCTCGGGGCTGAAGCCAGGCAAATATTAAATAAGGAGGGGCCGTCCCGATTTTGGGGTCTTTTTCTTATTTTCTAACAATGCTTAGCTGGGCACCAACCCACTGCATTTGCCTCTGTATCGCTCTTTTGTGGGCGGGGGGGGCACACAATTACCCCCCCCCACCACCTTCTATTACCCCCCCCTCCCCAGTCCTGATTTTTCACATTTGCTGCCTGGTCACCCGACTCCCTGCCCTCCCGGTCTCTGCAGACCGAGCACCCCTGCCCGGTGCGGCTGCGGGGAGAGACGGGTTAAAGGGCTTAACTTCCTCCTCTGCCTCCTGCCGCGCTCCGGTGACGCCGCTTGCAGCCGGGACTTGACCAAGTATGTCAGTTTCCCTCTGAGAGACAGACAGACGGACGGACAAGCCTCGCCGGCAGGAGGAGGCTGCGGAACCCAGGCGTCCGGCTCCGAGCGATCCCTGCTGCCGCGCGGCTCATCATGCCCTTCCGAAAAGGTAAGGGCGCCCCTGCGGGCACATGCCCCTGCCCCTGCCCCCCCGGGTCGGCAGGCGAGGCGTGGCTGCCCCACCCGCCCCTGCAGCGGGCTCGGGGGCTGCAGGAGGGTTGAATGGCAAAGAGGAGGACGGTGGGATTTGGGGTGCCCCCCCCCCAGCTCAAGGCCGGGGCTGCGGGAACACTGGGCGCCGCTGATCTGGGGGCCAGGGCCGGGCTGCTGCTGGTGGTTTCCGCGCTGTGCTTAGGGGGTGGTTTGAAAAGCTGGTTGGCTTCCTGTTTGCTTGGGCTGGGATGTGACTGTCCGCCTTGCCCTGGGCTATGCTGCGTGTGGGTACAGTGTGTGAGTTAGTCACACACACCCTTTCAGCTAATAATAGGTACATAAACCGATCAAGGTTTAATTGACTTAGAACAAGCACCTGGGATATATGTATTTCCTATTTGAAAGGCGCGCTCTCTCTCTCTCTCTTTTTTTTACTGCATTGGTCGCCTTGATTAACCGAACCGCTGTTGTACAGTTCAAGTACATCTCTCACTGAAATGGGGGAGCCAGTCGTTTGAAAATGGACAAAGCAATGGAAAAACATACAGTAGGGACCAGTCCTGCCTTGTTGTGGGATGGACTTTGGCCACTTAGGCTGAGAGGACCTGGCTAGTGTGTGTTGTCCTTGCTCTCTGCTGGAGAGAATCAGAACTGCTCAACTGTGTGTCATAGGACCTAGACTGCTAACAGAGATTCTCTTCTAGCAGGGGACTGGGCTTCTGGAGCCAGAGGAGCTGAGTTCTATCCCAGAAACCACAGTGAAATTGTCATAATGTGGCAGTCTGGAATTCCTAGGTGGTTGTGGATTTATTACAGGGTTGAATCCATCCCCCATTTCTGTGAGGTTCCACTTCAGTGATTGACTGAAGTCAGTCCCGTCTGCTTGTCCCAAAGCTCTGCAGGCCAGCATGGGGTTAAAGTGCTATGGGGAACGGACACAGCTTACAGGGGACAAAGGCACCTACTAGCTGTCTTGTGAGCCACTCATAGATAAGTGTAGGAGTGGTGAGTGCTGCAGAGGGAGTAGATTCTCATCCTCCTGGGGCTGCTGCGATGCAGTGCCTTTACTTTAAGGGAAGCAGACTGTGATGCTGGAGACCTGCACTCAATTTCGGGCTCTGCCAGTGGCCTGCTGAGCGACCTTGGGCAAGTCACTTCACAGCCCTGTTCCTCAGTTTCCCCATCATAAAACGGGAATAGTGACTACTGAGCTCCTCTGCAAAGTGCTTTAAGATCTCGCAATGAAGAGGGTTATATAAAAGCTAGGTGGTATTGTTAGTAATTCCCTTCCCATGTACACCCATGTTAGCTCTGTGTGCCAGCAAGTTCTGTGACAGCGGTGACATCCTAGCATGGTGCATGCCAGGATGCAGAATGGGAATCGGGCAGGACATCTGTGGGAAACCAAAAGGAAGAAAACCCCAGTACATTTCAAATGAACATTGTACTGCTCCTCTCTGAGCAGACGCAGTGTAGCATATAACCCCCAAAGGCTTAATCTTTCCAGTCGTTGGTCGCCTTTTAAAAATGAAGGGCCACGTTCTCCTTTCACTTAACCTGGTGTGTGTCAGGAGTAACGCCAATGAAGTGAGTGGTGTGAGAGGAGAACTGGACTCGCTGTCTCAAGAAAGTGGGATTGGACTGCAGCTATGAATAATGTACATACTTATTCAAAGGATTAGTACATCAAAACACTTGTGACATAAGCTCTGGGAGGAGAGGGCTCTATTCTGGTGTCCCTGCTGGGCCAAAACAGCATGACAGTTAGATCTGCAGGCAGAGTTCACCCAAAATGATTGAGGGGACTGGAGGGGTTGACTGATCAGGAAAGGTTGAGTTGAATACATAAAGTTTGGTTGAGTGATAGCCACGGGGGAAATAGTCCCTTCAAGCAAGTGTAGTATCTAACCCTACAGCGCTGCTCAGAGAAGAGACTGGTTAAGGTGGTGTAAAGAGGAATTAAGGGATGAAATTGAGAAAGGGGAGTTTCAGGCTGGATGGAGTGTGTGTGTGTGTGGGTTGGGGGGCAGCAGGGCTGGGGCATAGGATTTAAAGTTTATGAGCCTCCATCCTATCCTGCTGTGAGCTCTCTCCTCCCCAACCTTTTAAGCAGCTCTCTCTTTCTCACTCCACCAGATCAGCACAGCTGGGCTGTTTGACAGGAGGCGCATTGAACAGAGATGATGACCCAGTGTGATAAGAGTGAGACAGGGTAGGACAACTGCAGAGGAGAGGCCTGGAAAACTGCAGTAAAATACTGATACCGAACTTGTGTGGGGAAGACCAGGAGAGGCCTGAGGAAAGATGGGGGTGACCCAGAGGGAAAGGGAAATGTGGGGAGAAGAGAACTGGTTCTAAGTGTCAAGGTGATCAGGGTGTGTACAGGCTTGCTTGCAGGCATGTTAATACAGAGCATGATCCCAGCCTAGGAGTGTACTTCTGTTCCTTTCTGAGACTCGGAGCAGCATGTGCCGATTTACATCTTTGCGGTTGGATTGGACAGCCAATTTCAGATTTGTATATGTATTGTCAGGTGAAGGACAGAACCGTTTGTAACAGACTGAGAAACACGTGAGCCTGTGGGGAAGAAAGACCAACGGGTCAGAGAATGGAGGCCGGACTTTCAAAAGTGCTCAGCACCCAGCGGCTCCCAAGGAGAATGATGAGGCTTGAGCACTTGTGTTAATCTGGGTTTTTTGTTCAGGTGTCTAAATGGGGGCTGAACTCTTATGACAATCAGGTCGCTGGCCCGCTACTGGTGGGGGGGGCCCTTTGATCAGAGAGAGGCTGCTGTACAAAGGGACCTTGGCCCAAGGATCAGCCAGTCTTGCAATCTCCTGCATTGGAACTGTGAAAGAGTACAAACCTTGATTTCACAGTAGCAGCTGTGTTCCTCTGTATCCACAAAAATAACAGGAGTACTTGTGGCACCTTAGAGACTAACAAATTTATTAGACCATAAGCTTTCGTGGGCTACAGCCCACTTCATCGGATGCATAGAATGGAACATATAGTATAGAAGAGAGATATATATATATATATACACATACAGAGAAAGTGGAAGTTGTCATACAAACTGTAAGAGGCTAATTAATTAAGATGAGCTATTATCAGCTGGAGGAAAAAAAAAACTTTTGTAGTGATAATCCAAGATGGCCCATTTAGACAGTTGACAAGAAGGTGTGAGGATATTTAACATGGGGAAATAGATTCAATATGTGTAATGACCCAGCCACTCCCAGTCTCTATTCAAACCCAAGTTAATGGTATCTAGTTTGCATATTAATTCAAGCTCAGCAGTTTCTCATTGGAGTCTGTTTTTGAAGCTTTTCTGTTGCAAAATTGCCACCCTTAAATCTTTTACTGAGTGGCCAGAGAGATTGAAGTGTTCTCCCCCAGTTTTTGAATGTTATAATTCTTGACATCTGATTTATGTCCATTTATTTTTTACGTACAGACTGTCTGGTTTGGCCAATGTACATGGCAGAGGGGCATTGCTGGCACATGATGGCATATATCACATTGGTAGAACCTTGATTGTGTTTTATAAAAACCCTACTTCCACATACATATTTAAGCCTGGCACGCACAGTCCTTGACAAAGCCAACCCTGTGAGGGAGAAACTGCTGCAGGTTGGTTGCGTCACTGCAGAAAAACAACCCAAACTCCTCCCAACCAACCCCTGCTTCCTCTTAGCATACGTGCAACATAAGTGTCAACCCCTGACACTTAGTATGAGCCTCAGGTGACACGTGACCAGGATTCATTACCGAATTTGGTCCACTGGTTGGATCATTAGCTTCCCCGGCCCGGGCTGGGTACTGAAAGCTGATCCGTGCCCTCCATCACCCGATGAAATTGCAGAGCTTTGCTGGGGTACAGTTAAAAGAAAGGATGCCACAACATTGCTGACTTTTCATCTCTAACCTTGACTGGGTTTAACTGGACTTTTTGCAAATGTTATGTGCCAAGCTAAGCTTGTGTGTCACAGCAGTGGAATATCAACACTGTCTCTTGCGGGAAGCGGGGGATTATGTTCTGGTTTTGCAGGATAATGATGATCAGTGGCACAGGGCTCCGTGATCATCTCTGCAATGTTTAGGGCCCAGTAGGAGCCTTCCTGCCTTTGTTTCTTTTTGTTGCGGAGGGAGATAGGAGGAAAGTCACAACTGCTCTCTTAAGATGAGGGCTAGAGCTTTGTAACATGGCCGCCTAACTGCCGGGAGTGTATCTCTAAGGTAGATCAACTTTTTAAGAGCCAGGACATAAGCCAGCCACTAAGTGCCATGGGTTAGTAAGATGTTTCCCCTGTGGCCATGTTATTGCACAATCCTCCATTATGAAGGCACTAGTCTCTGCGGGATGCAGGATGCGTGTCTCCTCTGGTAAGGAAGTTCCAGCAAGAGGAAGATGGTGATACCGGCAAGCTTGGAGCAGAGCAATAAGCCCTTTCTTCCTTCAGCAACAGGGCAGGGAAGCTGGCTGCAGTATCTTCCCCTGACAGCAGAGTGCCCACCCAGCCTTCTTAGACATGGGTTTTCTGGGCAAGATGCTAATGTAGCTTTCAGAATGGGTGCAGAGAGCACCTTGGCAGAGCTGCCTGCGGGGGATATGGATCAGCCAGTGGTCTTCCCCCAGGTTTCCTTTTGCCATCAGAGAAAGATACTGGCATCCAAGAAAATGCGTACAAAAATGTCATTTCCCCCTTCCCTCACCAGACACACCCCACCCCTAGACAGTAGTGAGGTTCAAGTTGTC